CCCAGATAATTTCTGTCTTCTCTACACTCACAGCAGGTGAGCCCCAGGGACTTGACTCACACAGTACCCTGGCTGCAGGCTTGAGGGCCAGCAGAGCTGTTTGGGCTCTGTCCCCTTGGGAATACTGTCACCTCAACAGCAGCACCTGCTGTGGTGGTGGGAAGATGGGGATTCTCGATAGAAGACCAGCTCTTTACCAATCTGCCCTGCCCCACCTTCTGCAAAGCTGAAAAACTGCAAGAAGTGATTTTGTGTTTCTGCAGATTCACCTTCAGCAGGAAAGTATGGCTGCCACTTGGCTCTGGCTAATGAATGTTTTTAAAAAGGTGGTGATGAATAAAACCTTAACAGTAAAGTATTTCAGTCGCTGTTTTCCTTTATACTCCATTTGTGCTTCTGTGAATTGTAAAGCACAAGCATAAGGCTAAGAACTTCAGTTGACAGAAAGGTTTTCAATTTTGGTGGAGCCTATAGAGCTGTGTTGGTTTAGAGTTATTTTTCCTGCAAGTTTTTGTAGTGCTAAATTCTATTTAAATGCTTTTGTGGTTTAGAGTGCTACAGACTGTTCTATTACTGTTTATAAACATAGAGGGCTTTTAAATATGTGTTTTCATAACCAAAAATGATTGAAAGTGCTTGCTGCTTTCCTAGCATGACAGTGCAAGTTTGGGTCTGCACCAAAATATATTCATTGATGTGTCATTTTTTTAAATGGTTTTACTGTTTCAGAGGAAAAAGAGTTGTGGCAAGTTAGTTATTTTAGTTAGCTTCATACAAAAGGAAGGCAAAGTACCTCCTGATAGTAAGATGTTTACTTAAGTTTGTGTATTACTTAATGCAGTCTTGTACTATCATAATTTTTTTTCTCTGTTATGCCCCATGTCCTATTAGAGCAGTATTTTCATGGAGTTTTGGTCTAAATCAGAAAAATATTTACAAAGCTGTTATTATGTTCCGGTTTCTAATCTTTCCTTCAGAAATATCTTTATAAGCTTAAGTAAGTATCATTTCAAGTCCATGAATCACACATTCCTGTGTGCTGTGGCCCTTTGGAAAGAGGCTCTAAGACATTTTGTGCTTCATTATTTAAAGATTGTTTCCCAGTGTGCTTTAAAGGCTGAGATCTGAGGGGAGGAGAGTCTGGATCTTCTTGTCTTCTGAAACTCAATTTGCCTTTGTAGGGAAACTGTATGTGTGAGCAAGGGAAGGGACAGATTGGACTTGTATTTTTTATTACAGGGAGTGAATGGGTGCAAGTTGGATTTTTAAGGGAGGTTTTGTTGTAATTATTTGTGGAAGGAAAAAGGAGTATAAAATCCAAGATTCAGACCTGGTAATTGTTATTGCCCATGCCGTTCAAAGGAACTGACTGGGGGAGAAACTCTAAATAAGTACTCAGGAATATTTCTAAGAGGAAACAAGAGACAAAGGAGATGAGTTACACTCACGACTTGTTCCTTTCCCTTCCGAAGTGTGTTCCCTGGGCTTGTGTGAGCCAGCTCTAAATTTAGCAGCCTTCTCAAACCCCAGCGTTCTGCAGGAGCCCGCAGGCGTGCGAAGGCAGCGCTGCTCCAGCGGGCAGGGAGGGCTGGGGCCGCTGTGCTGGCAGCTGGGGTCTGCCACCCCCCTTCATCGTGCACTGCCTTTGCTGCTTTTGGCAGAGGACAGACAGCCACCGACGTGAGTGTCAGCGTTAGAAAGTAATTGCAGTCATCTCAGCTTCGCATCTTGCCACCCTTGCACTCCCCGGTCCAAATACCTGCCAACGCCACGGTCTGTCACCGAGGCCACTTGTTTTGTTGCACCCCTTGTCATTCTGCAGATCCTTCCTTGCTGTGACAAGAGCCCACTGTGGAAACTGAGCAGTTAAGGATGGTAGAGAAAAAAAGGAGATGGTGTTTGCTTTCTGTGTGACTGCTTCAAGTTTGATGTGACTGCTTAAACACTCACCTGCCCGGGACATATGCCAGAGTTCAGACTGTGTGTGTCATGTCTCCTGCTCAGGGTGTTCAGCTGTCATTAAGTAATTTTATTTCACTAAAATATTTCTCGATGCCTTTTCTCTCTTTTTTTTTCTTTTATCTCTATCCTGAAGGAAATAACCTGATAGTACCCAGATTTTCTGTAGTTTGTACCTGTCAGAACTCTTCACATTTTTTCTGTTAACTGTGTTGTGGAATCCTGTTCAGGTTTTCTGTTTCCCAGCAGGGTTTGGTTTCTGGACAAAGCTGAAGAAAACTCTTTGGAGTAAGATGGAGAAACATTCTTTACCTAGGTGTGTCTTCCTGAGTGATGAGTAATGGAATGGCTTGGTCCACATTTCTATTCCCTGATGCCTCTGGTTGTTAAACTGCTTTACCCTTGCAAGTTAGGTGGTTTATGGACCCTTGTGCACAGGGGTCCCTGCACCAGAGTGGGGTTCTTTGGCTTGCCTTTCTTATGGCTCTTTACAAGCTTTTAGCAGACAGTTCTGGTCTAGTGGTTTTGTGTGCTGTGGTTTGTCAGAAACTCAGTTGTTTTCTGCCAAAAAAGCCCGTCTACCTTCCATTACCAGAGAACAGCTTGCTTGCTCCTAAGAGTTTTATTCTTTGTCATTGGAATATTTTGAACAAAGACATGGCAGGATATGTCTAAACATAACTTTGCTTTTCTGGTTGCAAACTTACCAGTGCTGTGTATGACAGTCTGATAATCACCCTTGTGCCCCAAGCCCCACCGAGGAGATGGAAATGAACCTTGTGGTGTTTGGCTTGGTCTTTTGTCAATAGCAAAATTTTATGGAGCATTTAATGATCTGCTTTTTCAGCGTCTGAGAGGTTGATGATGTTTGTATCAGAGTTTGAGGGAATTGTAAATGCAGTTACATGTAGCTAATTCTGTTTCACTATTTAATAACATTTTCTGTGTGAAGTGGAAGTACACTGATGAAGTGTTCTGATGTTGTTTGTTGCCTAAACCACATCTGTGTTTTGTTCTACTGATCATTTGTTGGAATCGAAATTACGAACATGATTTTGGCAATACTGCCCATTTTTAGCTAAGCAGTTAATAAATTCTGGCTTTTAGTTGCATAGGTTACTTCAATGGTGATATATCCTTGTTCATGAGGAAGACACATACATTTAGTTACACTGTGTTTTAAACAAAATACTTGAATGGTGATCTCTAGAAATGTGGCCAGCCAGCTGCCCTGTGATGTGCCTGCAGAGTTTGTATTTAGAAGATGTTCTATGCAGTAACCATCTCAAATATGTTCCTTAGCAGTCTCTTGGGTGAGGACAGGAATACACAAAAAAAAGGCATTCCGAAAAAGGACATGTTATGATCCCATCATGCAGAACTCAAGTGTTTGGTCTAGTGCTGTGCAAGACAACTGCCAGAGCTGTCTTAGAGAGGGAAAAGGAATTATTTTACTCAAAGCTGGCTGTGGATAATTCATGAGGGTAAACATCCTGAACAAAGTTGTGCTACTGCTTATATATCCTGAGGATATCCAGTGGGGCTCCTGTGTTAAACCTGTAAGCTATACACGCTTGCAGTTGCTTAAAAAGCTGAAATTCTGATGTTCTTCCTTATTACTTTATTTCAGCTGAGTTGATGGCCCTCACTCACACTGGTGGGGAGAGCTACTCGTGCATTCTCAGCTTTTGGGGACACTGGTGCCTGTTGGAATTCCCCCAGTAATGCCATTGCCCTTTCCAGGGGTGCTGCTAAAACCATTCCTAGGACTTGAGAGCCCTCACAGGTGTTGTTTTTGTTTCCCTGCCCCTGTGTATCCCCAGCCTTCTATGTGGTGCTGCCCACAGTGAGGGCAGGGGAGAGTTGTGGGGTGGATTTCGTTGTTTTGTTTTTTTGTGTTGTTTTTTTTTCCCTAGCTGCAGTCTCTCATCAAATATTTACAGGGAAATTTGGATATAATTGCTTTAATTGGTATTGAACTTACTTGAGAAACAGGAGTTAGCACCACAAGAAGCATTCATGAGCTGTATAAAGTATCTTAAATGAATTTGTCATCTTAATGCTGACATTTGAAATACTGGCCTAAGTTTGTTTTTATTCAAAGCAAAAGTACTGTTCTACTTGATTTAAAAAAATCATCTGATAGAAAAGTGTTTTGATTTTCTTTTTTTAACACTCCCTTTTTTCTCCTTTTCCTTTGACTGGACTGCTTGGAGAACACAGAGAGCACTGGTGCAACTTGTGCTTGGAAGATATGAACAGAATGAAAAGTAGTAATGGGAATATCTTTACATGTGTTTGTAATAGTAAAAGCTCTGTAGTGCAGAGTGGGATGGTGTTGACTAGCTTGGGATCTAGTAGATTTTATTGGGTTTTTTTATGTTAGTAAATAATAAAATTCAGAAATAGTATTGTGAATCAAAAGTTAAATAAGAATTTAAGAGTGGACCCATGTTTTTAAGGGAAGAAAATACAGAAATTACTGTACAATCCGAGGAAAATAGAGCAAGGATGTAGTAGCACTGATAGAAGGCAATTTTATCATATTGAGTCCCTGAGTGAAGAAGAATCTATATATTGTGATTTTTATTTTTTTTTCCCCAGTGTCCCATGTGAAGATGAAAGCCTAGCTTGAAATAATCTGACAGCCTAAATGGCACAAAACAGGGCAGTGGAAATGTGAACTGAGTGTTTTTAAGGAGTCTTGTAGTCAGCAGTCATTTTAAAGCTTTCTTTCCAACCTATTTGTGTGTGGTATTTGTCTTCATGTATATGTATAATGCCACCTGCTCTCTGCCTCTGAAATCTTCAGGAGAGCAGCTTAAAGGAGCCTGAAAATGCCTTTCTGTATGAAGCACTGCTGGGTGCTTTCAGCATAGATCTTCTCAATGCTGAAGTTTCTTCCTCAGCCAAGCAGATACCCTCTTTCCCAGAATTATTTCAGAATACTCAAGATCACTTGCAGTGTCTTTAATATGAAGATAAATAGAATTTCAACTATAATAATGGAATTTTCTATTTTCTTGCCTGTCATTCTGCAGGTTAAAGTGGGGAGGAAAAAAAACAAACCCAGAAGCATCATTGATTGACTGGGTAGATTTTCCAACATGAATCGTGCTTTTAGCAGGAAGAAAGGTAAGTAATTTAGCTTATATTTCATGGAGACATAAATGTCCTGTAAAAATTCTTTAGAATATTAAGAATTATACAAGGAAAAACTAAATCGTTTCACTGAATTATCTAGGTAAAAATGAGCAGCCTTCCAGAAGATTTACAGAGCAAAGCATTCTTGACTGGTAGTTACAGAGCTTTCTGCATTCTAAGGCTCAAGTTGAATTTTGTATGTTTTTTAATTGCAGGAGGTGTGTACACACACACATATAAATACATAAACATAAAATACACATTCTGTTTTCTTATGTTGCCTGCACACACCAAAGGGTTTGAGAGCTTCTAAGAGTTAGTGACTTTTCTTTATATATATATTTATTGGATTTTTTCAAACTGTGTTTAATATACTAGAAGTGTCTCATGCAGGAGGATATTTTTAGCAATAAGCAGCTCTTCTGGATTTGTAGCAGTCTGAAATGGCATGCCTTCTTAAAAAAGGTTATCAAGGCATGTTGCTCCTCTGGCTTGTTTATCTCTTTTCATGGACTGTTTATGAGTAGGCAGAAGTCTTTAAAAGGAGCATTAGGGATGCAGCTTTTTTTTACTGACAGCTTTGTTGATATTTCCCCCATTAGTTTGTAAGGTAGAAGTGCTCAGTAAGTGTCGTTTCTTGTTTTTCCATGTTTTCTTCCAAAAGTCCTTAAGTGTGGCACACACCGAGGTGAAGCCCTTGCCTGAATAAGTAGGTGCAACCTCAGTTGGACTGAGTGTAAATATTTTGTTTATATAACAAGAATTTCCGTTTTTGTATCAATATCAAAGCTGGAAATAAAAGGAATCTGCATACTTAGGCCAGCATGAAATGACAGCATCACTGCATCCTTGTGTGTCTAGTGCATTGGTTTGCTGAAGCCAGATGAATCAAGGTAAGAGAAGTAGTTCAGACTATCAGCACGTGATCACTAAAGGAAGATTCACTACCTCACAAAGGCTGCAAAATAGGATGAAAGATCTTCTAACACCCTGAGAGCAAGAGGAAATAAGCTTAAACCTGTGCTCTTCTTAAGCACTGATGTATTTCCTTTTGTGGGTGATTGTAACATTGCTGTCAACAGATCTGTACCTTCCAGGTGCTTGATAGTGTTGCCAGGCTTCTTCCAGATCATTTCAGAAATTATTTCATTATTCTTTAATTGTGGATGGATTTATCACAAGTGAGAAAGAGAAACTTGGGGATTGTAGATTGTTTTGTCTAGGAGACCATGTAATTATTTTCCTTTTTTATTCTTTACTAATGATTTCTGATAATGTTTGAAGCTCAGCCTGCCATGATTTAGAAACAGATCAGTTGTGTTTTACTGGATATTTTCTCAGAGTTTTGACTTGGACCCAGAATGCTAAAATACTCTGTCACCATTTCATATTGTCCTTGGCAGTTTCTGCATCTTGCCTTTATCATTGTTGAAGTTGTATCCTCAGTTTCCTGGGATCATTTGAGCTGTCTGAATTAACTTCTCTCTGTTTTCATTTCTTCATAAGTAAACTCTTACTAAGTCCTTATCTAAATTCTTGGAAATTCATTGTATTCAAAGGCATTTCCTTTGTTGTTCGGTTAATTTTGTGTGCTGTTTTCTTTACCCCAAGAAAAAAGTATCTCATATAAAAGCTGTCAGGCACAATGAAATGCAATTAGTGTGGATTCCTAATAGTGATTCAGAACCTTAGGAGACAGAGGAATTCAATGCTGTCATCCGTTTATTTTACTCATAGTAACACTTGTGACATTTCCATTCTCATACCCTAGGGATAAAAAAAACAAGTTTCAGTTAAGCAATTGCCAATAATAAGTGAAAATTACATATTTTTAATGCAAATGAAGTTCGTAAGAACTTGGCTCTATCAGGGTTCATGCATAATATCTGCATTTAAAAACAGTTTCAATTGCTGAACTTCCTTTAGAGTATTTGATTTTTTCCCCCCAGATCTCAGAGATATAGTTATTTCCATTTCTTGATGGGTCATTTGTGGGTTTCTTCTGTCCACAAGAGTATGAATATTTTGAGGCACTAACTGTGTGACAGCTCTGGCTTCCCAAGCAGTCTAAACTCAGACCAGTTTCCATCTGTGCTTGTAGGGTTTATGTGAATTACAAGATTGCACTGCTCTGTTACCTTGAAGCTATACAAACAATAGCCTTAAATCCATAGGATTGTGATGGGAATTAAACAGATGTAGGTGATACTTGGATAATAGCCAGAGATTATAAATGAATTGGGCAGATTGGCAGAATAAATGCTCCCTAATGATGATGGTGATGATCAGCCTGTATGGGTCCTTTAACAGGATGCATATACAGAAGGTCCTTCCTGCTGCCATGGCTCCCATCTTTTTGGGCTGGGCAAACTGGGCACTAGAATGGCTGGGGCTGTGCTGCTCTTGCTGATGAGCTCTGTTCTCATGCCATCACCTGATTCAACAACGCAATTTTTCTTCTAAATGTTCAGGAAACGATTTAATTTGCAGACATTGGCATACAAAGCAAGAAAAGAAGCACTGGAAGCAAGCTTTCTTTACTTTTTTGCCCCTTTTTCTTCTGTTGGTGCCTGGATAGCAACCTGTGCTTTCACAAAAGAATTGCCATGAAACGTGAGTTGCTAAGACAGAAAGTGAGCTCTTTTTTAAAATTAATCCTGATCCTTTACAGGCAAAAATTTCCTATAGATAAGATGTGTGGCATGAGTGTTTATGGAGAGAATCTGCTGTGGGAACAGCAGCTTTGTCATAAATCAGAGCAGAGCTCTTGAGAGCACAAATCTCCACTTTCAGCATTACCAGTGCTTCATTTTGAGGCACAATTCTTTACTGCAGATATGATATCTGCAGCCAGTACTCAGTCTAAGTTTATTTTTGAGGGTCGTGGTTTGGGTATGAAATAGCCACTTGAGCTGACAAGGTGTGCTGAGTGCTCTGGCCTTTAAAAAGTGGTACAGCCATTGCCTGACTGCCCAAGATTTAGCACAAACCAGAGCTGGTGAGCTTGCTTCTATTTCAGTTGGAATTGTTTTTATTTGTCTGATAGTCATTTTGGTGGAAGGCTTAATTGATATGCTTAAATCTCAAATTGCAAAAAAATCAAGCTGTTTCTTTCATCCTGATAGGAACAATGAAAAATATAAAAAAAGTCAAGTTTAAACAAATTCAACTTGTTTCAGGAAGTACTTCCACAGGTAATGATAAACAAATTGAATCTTTCAGCAGTCCAGGTTGTAATATCTGGTCTCTTCTGTTACCCATGAGCTTATATAACAGGGAAACAAACTGTAGGCACTAATATTGACAAAAAGTTTCATTTTGGGTTTAAAGCTGATATCAGCATTTGCTGTTTGAAGTTGCATATTTAAATGTGAAAAAAACCCCGAAACATTCCAAGCAACATAGCCTCTCTCTTGACTTCAGTAGAATTTGGTTGGATTAAGTAATAGGTGTTTTATGAAGAAAATTCTCAGGTGCAGAAATACTACATGACTCTCCAAACTGTCCATAAGCAAGAGTTCGCTTTTCCATTCATTGATCAATGAGTGCAGTAAATTACAGTGAAAAGATAATTATATTTTAAAGGATCTCTTTCCTTCTCCCACAAAAACAAATTGATCAACAATATGTATGTTCCTCTTGTTTTTGTTGTTATGACAAAACTTCTGAAAACTTTTGTGTATCTATCACACTATTGGAAGCTTGCTTTTGTACGTGTCACAGTTTTGGGGAAGGGGTTTTGAAGAGTCCTGTTTACTTTCCATTTTCGATTTTTCCATTAGAGTCACACGTGGTAGGATGCTCACTTGGAAATGCTGTGGTGCAAAAAGTCTGTAGTGCAGGTGGAAGTCCATTCAATTGGAAATATGTTTGCATCTTGATAAACTCAGCCACTTTTAAGTAGTTTAGGAGTATCAATGTGATTTTTCTGTAAGAGAGCTCTGTTAATGCTATATTGTTATGTAAATTTTTCTCATTCTTAGTATATTTGTATCTAAACTAAATTACTCAACTCTTCTCAATTTAGACTTCATTTTGTCATGGTATTTATTCACATAAAATAAAGAACATTAACTATGGGGGCTTGATTATGCTCCTTTTTTTTTTTGTGAATGGAGTTGCCTCGCATAAATGAGTTTGGCACATTTTACTGATCCTACATCCTTCTGTTAAAAGATGCTAGTGTAAGAACTGGTGCATATAAGTAAAGAAAGAAAACTAGTATTTCCTGGCTTTTGCCTCATCAGAAATGTGAAATAAAACTACTGTTCCTTCCAGACAGAGGTATGTAAATATGGAACGACTGTAATCCAAACCCTCTGTGAGCAAAAGATTGAAGCTTTTGAGTGACACAGAACACTGCTAAAAATGTAGATATGTATGTCTACTGAATTACAATGGCTGAAATTGGGTGACGTTGGGGAGGATGTAGCAGTTGAATTTAGTTTTTTTTTTTCTTTATTGCGCCCCAGTGATTCTCCTTCATCCCATAAAGAATGTCAGCCTTAGATTTCTAATGACAAGAAGTTCAATGTATGTGAGAATCTAAATTTTCTGGGTTTTTTTTCCATGAGATAGCAGTTAATAAGGTGGATAATTGCTGCCAATTGCCTGCTCCCGAGATGTACATGGCCTTTATAATGCTAAATAGGATATACTGAGGTAATTACCTGTTTTAAATAATAAATTTCAGCAATAACATTTCTGTGCAATGGCTTTTTATTAGTCTTATTTATGAAAGTGTAGACAGGTGCATTTAATGGGCAGGGGCTGACATATAAAATACTGCAATCAAAGGTTATAGGATGCTCTTTTATGTGAATGGGCTGGCTATAATATGATCTTTATTTTTATTATAAACATATGCTGCATTCCAGAGATGGAAAATATTTTGTTTTATATTTTATCTCTTAATGAGAAGACAATAGGTGAAGGCCCACAAGAGTGATGAGGATAAGTGTAGTCCTAAAGTAAATACTTTCCTTCTGTCA